TGAAAGTTTCATTAAAATCGAAGATCTTTTTTGTACAGTGTGGTTGAAATACCGTGGAAATACCCTTATCGAAGCCGGTACACATACAGATTCTCTCAACCTTTACGAATATCTACCTGAATAACTAGCAGAATCAGTCAAAATTAGAGACTTCCTCCGATCTAAACGAACACATTCGTTCATGTGTCTATGTGCTCATTTGATTATTTCAACATGATTAACTTATAAATCATATCTTTCTTGAAGCTTAATTAGTTTTATAAATATGTATCAGGGTAAATAAATTGTAACAGCACGCATAGGGAACGTACTATAAAACACGTCCGTCAAAATTCTTATTGAGATTTATTCGTTCTTTGTGTATTTATACATGTTGTAAACTATAGATTTCTGTTTTCATTCGTTCTATCATATATGTCCCTATTGTATTGTCTGGATTTGTTCTATTACTGTCTTACTTTCTTGTATGTGATAAATACAGTGTTTTTCCAATAGTTGTATGTTATCTATTCGTACATGTCAGCTCTTCTCTAACATATGATATGTATATATAAACTTGTTATTTCTATGAAGGGCATATACAGACCGATGAAACCGAATAAAATTAGCACCATATGCGCAATAAAGTATATCAGATCTAACATAAATTTTGGTTTTTTTAAAATTTTTCATGACGCTAAATCATCCTTGTTTCGTAAGTAAAACCCGATGAATCTATACATTCTTCGGGATATAGGTACGGATTTGATCGATAGAAAAGACTCACACCCACATTCTCTGATGATTTTCTTTGTCAGGATGAAATCTAGATCATGGTAACTGTTTTACATTTTTTCTTCACTAAAACAAACATTTTATCTTATTCAATAACAAATCTTTCTCTCAAAACTAGTAACAAATCAAGCAAATATTCTTTACACAAAAACAAACACCTGTATTTCGTTGTTCTTTTCATCTCAATATAAATCACTTCATTTTGTTTATAATAAAAAAAACACTTTCAAGAATTTTAAAATGAAACAAAAGAAACTCGTTTTTTTCTTAGATAAACGGAAGATTTCTGTGAAACACGATTGGAAATGAGTGTTGGAGTAAATAGAGCAAACCTTGGATTCATTCACCTTCATCCTGTAGATCGTGATAGTCACCTTGTTGAGATTACAAATAACAGCTATATCATGTTTCACGGCATAATTTGGCAGTAATTGGACAAAAACTAACTTATCTATATTCATCTATGAGATTTTATCTATTTTCTTAACATAGAAAAAAGAAAACGATGTTTTCAGGGTAAAGTTCTCCGTCAAGAAACATATTATTCGTGACCTTCGCTATCATATACCAATAATATGAAGCAAAAGATCATCGGTTTTTTTCTCATTACTGTTATCATCAGTTCTTTGATATCATATAATTTGTGAAGTTATTCCGGTCGAAAAAATTTTCTTCTATTAAAGCAATAACCAAAAATAATTGTATTCAATACACTTAAACTATTTATTGTAATAAATGCGCAACTGTATATATGTTGGTGAATAATACATAGGATATAATAATATCCCGGCACATTTAAGAAAAATACCTAAGAGAAAAGAGAAGAAAACCTATCGTTGAATAGAAAGAAAAGAAAGAGAAAAAGGAAAATACATATATATAATATAACGACAAAAAGGAAATCACCATATATAGAAGAACATGCAAAAATGATAGATGACAACAGCTGATTATATCTCTTAACAAATTACTACATATGTCATATTTCTTCTTTGTTGTTTTGTATCTTAAAAATATTTTCAAGTGTTTTTGTTTTTTCATCAAGTATTTATTTATATTATATTCTAGTATATAATATTCGATTCACAAATGATATATCTTTTGATTATATTTTCCATGGTAAATTCAATTTACGGTTCATATCACTATATTGGTTGTTATAAACAAGTATTGTATAATAATTATTTCATCAGTTCGTATATGGAACCAACATTATGTTTTCTTTTATGTGACACACCGATTATTTATATACAAGGCAGCATTTGCCGATGTTCAGGTGGTGGTCTTATGGTTCATAATCAACAGATAGATGAACTTTGTAGCATACCATGTAGAAAACCAGGTGATCGTCGAACTATAACAGTTCAAACATGTGGAGGTGCACAAACATATTCAGTTTATGCTGAAGAAAAATTTTATACTCATCATGCTCATTTATTCAACTTTCGAATTCAATTTAAATCATGTGAATTATGGAATACTTCTCATAATTATGATGCATTACAAATTAAAATTAATAAATCATATGTTAAATCTCCATTGAATAAATTAGAACGATGTGCTGCTGCATGTCTTGATCAAAATACTACGACCAAATCAATAGGTAGAAAAAAAATATATAAAGAACTAATAATCATCAACGAATAAACTCTAAGGAAATGTATTTCCTGACAAAAAAAAGATCTGTGATAGGATACAGATGGTTTCTGTCAGGAAAAATATTTCTTTAAAATTCATTTGATTCGATGCTGACTCTGAATGCCATACTCATTTTGACTTACAGTTGTGTCTTGTTAATGAAGAACGCTGAAAGATTTTTCTTTTTCTAGTGAAAAATCCCGTTGAAACAGAGATGTACGAATTCTGTTTCACATCGAAGGCTAACTTTTTTCGATATTTTTTACCATTTTTTAGAGACTCAAAAATTGCACAACAAATATAAAATTCACTGTGATGTATTTTAGTTTCAAATACTGTGACAGCAGATATACTGTGAATAATCAATCATTTTGACCTAGTCAATTGTGACATGGTTGACTTATTTTGAACTAGAAACATCCAGTAAACACGATTTTCGACTATTTTCTTTTTGATAGAAAGTAAATATTGACTTACTTCATTATAGTGCCTGGGAATGAGCTAACATTTTGGGTTTCAGCGTTTTAGTCTATGGCCTTGCGAATATCAATTAAAAATCTAAAATTTTTGACCAGTATCTCCATTCTCTTATGGACTCTCCCTTAAAAGCCTCTACAATGTATCATTTCAGTAGAATTTTTCTCATTGAACATCAATTGATGTTGTGCTATTTAAATTTTATTTTAATCAAATTACATAATATTCAATTAGGGTTTAGATCGAGTAACATTGATTATAAAAAAAAATATTATAAAAAGTAAAATTAATTTACCCGTGTTAAACTGTTTTTCTTTTAGTACAAAATCTGTGATTCTTCAACATCTAGTTGCTAAAAGCGTCCATTCTTGAAGAAAAGCTAAAATTCCGATTAAAATCGATTATTTTCGAACTGACAACTGATTAAAATACCTGTATTTTAATTAGATTTTCAATCTTACGGAGAGGTATCATTTGATTTTAATAATTTTTTATTCTATTTTAAATGATTATCGAAAAGAAATCAATTATAGCTAATTATGAGAGATCAATTTGAATTGATTAAAATTTGTTAATTAATTAAAATAGAATTGAAAAAGTTTACAATTGAATTAAATATATTCTTTCGAATGAAAAATCTAATTAACATCAAATTTAGATACTACCATCTTAATCACTTGTTTAGCTAAAAGTGATCGAAATTTAATTTGATTTTAATTTGTTTCGTTTTTACATGTATAACTGAGTCTCACAAATTTGTTCAATAATCTTTGATTGTATAGACATATATTGGCAACGATCTAGACCAAAATAGAAGGCCAATTTTGAAAGAGCGATATGAATTTTCGTAATATAGAAAGTCATCCCTTTTTATTTCGTGAGCAAAAGTAAAGCAAGAATTTAATTTACTGACATTTTAGTTTAGACATTGAATTACTAATTAGTAATCGTATCTTGAAACATGATATGTATCAATGGTTGACCTAGTCTTACATATCCATTTGTTGTATAGTCATGGATACAGAACAATGAAATTCTCAACTTTAATCTACGACTAAAATCTTTTTATTCATATCGTGAACGAATCTTTCATGTAATAACAGCGTTGCTTTATTGTTTATATTAAACAGCCAATAATAGTATTCAGCTTTTAACGATGATTACAAAAGTTCGCTTTAGAGTGAATTATAATATGCATTCAAAAAGCTAAAGAACACCAATTTCACATCTGAAAATTTATTTCTAGCTTTCAATGGTGATAACGATCGATGCTTATGTATAATGTCTCGAACCTTAAATCTAAATGTTAATGGTGGACTTGATTTAACAATTTTACCAAATAATAGTTGTGACCGTTATTGTGATAACATAATGTATGATTCGACAGTTGAACATAAATTTAAATGCGGTTCATTAAAAGATTCACGTATATGGGCCATATATGATTTAAATACTACATGTCCAATTGGTTTTATTTATATAAAAGAATTAAAAAAATGTATATCTAAATATAAAGGAGTTTCAAATCTATGCCCATCACCATCAATGAATTATATTTATAATGGAAATCTAACATGGAATATCTTTCTAAAAATTATTGAAAAATTAAACTTAACTAAATCTATTGTTTCAATTGATTTTGATGATTATGTTACTGTTGATCCTTCATGGATGTGCTCAACAACTACCAATACGATAAATTCAAATCTTTCTAATAGAAATTTTAGTACATATTATGTATTAGATAGCGGTTGTTTACGTGTACGTTTCTATTCTTTGGGTTCACGTAGATTATCAAATCGTTTATGCATAACAAATCCTATAAGTGAAGACTCATTATCATATGATGCTCGAAGTTATCCAATTTATGGATTGGAACTTAATAAAAACATGGTTAATTGTCCACCACAGTGGTTCGATATAAACACAGAGTGTTATCGAATATCGGATTACCCTAAGACAATTCAAGAAGCAAGAAATAGTTGTATTGAATTGCCAGAAGAGTTGAAGAAGTATAATGGATTACAAGAAGTTACACCAAATTTGTTTGATGATGATGATATGAGAAACATAGAGGTGCATAAATTAATGAATCTTACGACTGATGCCCTTAAAGGTGAAATTGTACAGTATACGTCACAATGGCAAGTACATCTTGGCTTCTTTCTTCTTGATACAAGTAAATTCTCTGAAAAGAATCCTATATTTTTTTTCCAAATAGTCACCCTTAGTTCAGATAGACAAGTGAGATTATATAAGATATGAGCAGACACCTTAAATAATAGAATTTGAGGGATTCAGTTCAATTGTCGTATTATATATTTGTTCACACGATTATTCGTATGTCACTACGAGAACAACTATGAATATTCACTGTATTGCAATGGCGATCAGCGGATAGTCAACTGTTAAATTATGAAAATCACTCGCCAGTTCACTATGATTAAACCAGCAGTGTTTTGTTCATACGAGCAATTATCGCCACTATAGTGCACATTAGATTGAATGACCTACCGATGTTTTTTCTTTGGTGTGAATCACCAGAGTTTTATTGATCCTCTACGAATTTACTTAACACTTTGTTTATATACGTATATATATATGAATATTTGAAAACATCCTTATTAAAAATCAAATTCACATTTTTAAGTGTAATTTCTTTGAAAAATTACACGAATTTTCCGTTCAGTTTTCTCTGATGACTCTTAATCTTAGAATAAAAGATCTGAAAACAAAACTAAAACTTCAAATAGATCAAGAAGGATTTCATGGTAAAAGAAGGAATATGTTTCATAACAAAACGAAAACAGCTATGATCCAAAAATTAGAAATTATGATAAAAAGCTTTCGAGTGTTGCATAGAACTTAATGAGGAAGAACATACTAAAGATGATTTTTAACATTAACTAAAATAATTCTTTCTTAGATGCATCAAGTACAGAACAAGAACTTGGATTATTTCATTCATATGTTACAGATTTTCCATCATTAGTGTCCAATGTTGATGTCAATCTCTCATCTATAAATGAATTTCAAATGATTAATTCAAATGACGATAATAACTCAAGCATTCAAGATGATTCATGTTTAGTTTTGACACGTTTAATAATCGATGAAAAACAAAGAAGTTCTATTTTTAAAAATTCTCAAATCCATAATTGTTCGAAACCAAGACATGTTTTATGCAAAGCAAGAACAATTCTTGGTTACAACTCTCATCAAATTTGTTATAGTAAACCATCAACACTTGGTTTACCAGCAATGATATCAAATCATTTAACATATGAATTATGTTTATCTGTTTGTGGAATATTAAAAACAAGTTCAGCTGTTATAAATATGAATAAATGCTATTGTGTCGATGTTGCTGAGTCATTGATGATTGATATCGAAGGAAATCATGTAAAATATAGAACGAAAGATTGTGGAAATCCTTGCCCGGGTATGGTTAATAGATGAGTATTGATGTCTTTGTTTTTATCAATCAGTCGAACTTTATTTCCACATTTGGTTCGTGAGAAATAGTCTCAGAATCGTGTTATAACAATAATAAATGCAAAAACATAGGTTCAAAATTTTCCTACTTAGTGATATTGTAAGACTCCAGTTTTACCTTTCACAGTCGTACTATATTAATATTGCTTCCAAAAAGAATCTGGTGAAAGTTCACCTTATTTTCGCCGATATGAATTCTGGACTTTTGCCATTCACAAAATTTCACAATGATCTGCGATCATATTGGATTTTGTTTATTATAATCCATCAAAAATCGCGAATTTGAGGTTTCCAAACATCGTAACATGTTCTGCTGATAACTATACTAAAACATTCCTATCCGCTTTTTACTCAATATTTTTTTCACATCAACCCAAAACTCGATTTTTATTTCATCTTGAATTTCGGTAGGAAGTTAAATGGAGTCTTCAAATAATAATAAATCGACTCTATAGACCAAAGCCCTTTGAATTTATCTTTATCTCGTATACTTGGAGCGACTACTCGAATCCGATCAGAAAACTTCAATAAATATAAAAGTAATATTAGACATGTCTGAAAAAAGGAACTATCAATTTTTCAGTGATACTCGATTACCAAACACGATGTATATTGACTAGCAGCGATAGACTTCTTCAAAGTTGTGGTATAGAGATTGTCAAGTTCTACTTCATATGTTGATATTTCAATTGTTGACCCAACTATTGTCGCAGTCACGGTGAAAGTGGTGCCAACTGCTGACATATCAACGGTGTGACTTAGAGCTTAACAACACATATACTACAATCTACAGTCAATATATTACAGTTACCTTTCAGTTAATCAGATTCGAATCCTAAACACGTTTTTGGTCCACCACAAGCCTAAAACTGATATGGTCCACTATGAACACTATTGATGACAATTTTCACTATAAATTATCGAGCCTTGTGAAACTCACATATATTTTCGAAGAAAATAGTGAGTGAAAGCTTTCCAGCCTTCACCTTTCATTACGTACCTTGGTAAGCGGGATTAAAAAGTGGGCTTTTGAAACAGACTTATTTGCCATTGAATCGAATGTCTATTTATGATAATACTAGGATAAGAACTCTAAAGGCATATGCATTCTACATTTCAATCCCAAAAGAGCTTTGCTAACAAGCTTTCTTTCTCTAAAAATCAATCATTCTATTGTTTTGAATTTAGATTTATACATGATTAAGTGAATGACTACATAATTATTTACAATTTTAGGTAATCAAAATGAGCGCTGTGGTAATACAGATACAATGGTTATCGTACATGCAACTGATAATATACCTTCGTTCAAACTTGACAAAAATTATATACAATCTAAACAACATCCTGACTTCATTTATGATAATTGTGTACATGTAAATTTTCCCAATAAATCAGGAATATATCAATTCAGTTTAAATCATATAAATGATATTCATCCACGTCATTGCTTAGAATTGTGTAAGAAGTATAAACAACAATATGCTCTTCTTAATTCAAATAAATGTTTATGTACGAATATTCCAATGACAAAAAGACAAAATGCTCTAAGGTTATTTATTCCTCCAGATTTTGATTGTAATCAAGAATGTCAAGGTAATTACTTATACACATGTGGAAATACAAGTAATTCAACGATATATTCCGTGTATGTAATGCACCCAAGATGTCCTCACAGTAAGAGAAGAAAATATCAAAATTTGTTAATCAAATAGAAACAAAGAATTTTTCTTAATTTTTCTTTAGATTTTCAACTTAGTTTTGATGAACAACAATGTGTACAGATTGATTTTTCAGTGAAGAAAAATTCTTTCTCAACTGCACAATCTTATTGTCAATCTATTGGTGGTGTACTTGCAAAAATAAATGATATTTTAGAAATTCAAGATTTAGTATTCTCATCAAAACTGTACGGAAATCACTTCGATGAATATCCATATTTTTATATTCCAAGTTTACTTAATAATACAAAATATTTTTGGGTCGATCGCACATCGGATATTATAAACACCAACAAAACATCAGATCATTTTATTGGAAAATGTTTTGAAACATTAAAATCATTTGACCAAAACTGTGTTGTTCTTCATCGCGAAAATATTACCGTTGATAATATATCGACTTTTCAGTCGTGTTTTACTGAATCAGATCAATGCTCATCAATGTCTGCTATACCGGTTTGTGTTGATAAAAATCTAGAATTTAATTTAACTACAATGTCTTCAACTCCAGGTGGTGTTTCATCCATCATATCAGTGAATATATCAACGGATTATTCATGTGGTGATGATACAGATTATCATTTTATGAATGATTATTGTTATAAAGTATTATTTCACGAAACTACTTGGCATAATGCAAAAGCAGAGTGTGAACGTGATAAAGCTGCATTATTTTTACCTGGAAAAAACACGATGTACTCCTTACTAAAATTCTTACTGTTACGACAGCATAGTTACACATCATCTGGTGTTGTATATGTTGATATTTTTTATGATAATCAAAATCGTACTGCTATGAAATATAGTACAATCAGTAGAAGTACTTTAAAACCTATACGAGATTCCTATGATCTTGATACTTTATGTGAAAGTGCATTTCGTCGAAGTTATGACAATTTCCTATTTTCACCAAATCTAACAATGAAAGATATAGATCGATTAAAAAGTCAGCAAACTACTTGTGGATACATTGATTTTCGATCTGACTATGAACCATCGATTTCATGTGATGAAATATCCTGTAATCGACCGGCAACTGTAATATGTCAAAAATCACCGATTATAACAACGCATACTATTCTAGCAAAACGGTTAGTTATCAATTATTAGAGCTTTTTTGTTGCAAACTATAAAATTTTCTTAGACAAGTTGAAAATTCCTACCAAAAGGAAAAGAATCATTGTGCATATCGATAGAGCATGATGTTGAAGTATATTTTATGTGATCCTGGAGACAGTGAATATAACTATCATCAAATATTAATTAAATGCTCGCATCGAAGTCGGATACTCCTCTCGAAGATGCAATGCATTTCTTTCCATTCGATGACTAACACGCACTACACATTTCTCCGACAACTAGAATTCGACGAACTTAATAAACTATCTAACAATGTTTTCATATTACTCTCTTGATTCAAACCCAGTTGACTAACTCTAATAGTATTAGGATACAGATATGCAAGGTAAGCTTTTTTGTCATTATGTACTCTGATTGACAAATTTTCTAATTCATTTCCTATACATGTCTATTATAGAGAATAAGACATCAAGTGTTAACTTCTCTTTCTGTCAATAAGTCGAAGTTTACCATGGAGTTAGTTAGAATGAGCGTATATTATTCTGTGTTTCGAACAGTTTTGTCTTGATACGTTTTGATTATAATAGTATGAAAAGTCTTTCTTAAATAGTCTGCAACAAAAAATGATATTGTTTGTTTTTATTTCATACACAAAATAAATTATATTTATGGTAGGACATCATTGCTATGTTTCTATTCATACCAAACAAAGAAAACATATCCGATATTCAACTTCATTCTCGAGCTTTTCATAACATATTTTGTATTTATTTATAGTGATTATACAAATTTGCCAATATCATCGACTGATGAAGAATCAAATTCTAAAAAATCTATCAGCAAAAGTTTCATATCAATTATCTTGATATTTTCAATTATATTTGTTCTTATACTCGTTGGATTTATATATATATTACACAATCGTTATGTAAAACGAAAGAATAATAGACATCGTACAAAAAGACTTAATAATGAACCTATTTATTCTCAATTGCTTGCTAGCAGTGAATCTAATTTATAGTAGGAATACTATTTTTATTTTTTATTCATTATATTCCTATTGTACCCTTAATCTTCATTTTAAATGAAAATTTTTTCATTGATTTCTTCTCTTTGAATTTGTGAACACATGACATAGATGATTCGATTATTTTCACTTGTCATGTCATTTTGTCCAACGACTATGTGTGTAGATCTTGTCTTTACATATCCTCTCTCTCTACACACCCTAATTGCTTTTAGTAAAAGAATAAAATTTTTAATGATTCAGAAATATTAATGATAAATACTCACATTGGGTACGGTTTTTTAATTTTCGAAATAAAATAAAACAAGGGTGGGTGTGGGTGTGGACATTGATCATCTGTTCGCTCACACCCACTATCATACCCCACCCACGTCACCACTCCCACCCACACCCTACACCCGATCCATCACACAAAGTATCAGTAGAACCAAGCGTATGGCTAATATAGATGGAATGAGTCAACTCTCATTATGAGATCCTTTTTTTTGAAAGACTGAAAATATGATTTAAAAAAGCTACTTTTTTCCTGTCTACGTGCGTAATTCTTCATTTACTTACCATTTTTTTCACTATTGAATGATAAAACAACATGACAAACAGTCACGTATTCCATTCTATAGAATTATTTTTTTTAATCATTTTTATTTGCATCAAACTATCAAAGACAGACAACTAAAAAGTACCATAAACATTAAAATATTCCATTGTGCCAACCAGTTGAGTAACAAGACCTGTAAGATCACAATATCTTCCTGTAGAGGCAAAATGCAAAGAAAAATTGATTATCGCCATTGGTTGAAGCTTTTCTTATCTGCATTGATTCCGTTGATGATTGCTGTTTTCACCATCATCACTACCATTCAACAACAAAGACTATCAACTTTACAACGTGAACAAGACAAACAAGAAGCTCTTCTCTTAAGACAGCAATCAGACCGCCAAACAGAAAATTTACAGAAGGAGAACGTATTCACCACCTATATTGATGATGTGTCGAAAGGGTGTGGGTATGGGGTGTGGTGGGATATTGGTGTGAATATAGGTTTATTTCTCATCTACAGCCACCAGCACCCACACCCTGCAGATAAGACCTTATTTGCACGCTTAAAAACCCTTTTTCTTATAGATTTTTGGTGATTGACACAAGCCACCCATTCACAGAATCTTACTTACATCTCAACGACGCTTTACATTACAAGAAATATGAGCATAAGTGAGTTTTATGTCGCTTGTCGAAATGGAGATATAGATACGGTCAAACGTTTACTGCCATCACTTACTTTACATGACATCAATCGTATGGAGCCCAATGGTAGCACTGCTTTGCATGCAGCTTCTTATTATGGTCACTATGATATTGTTAACCTATTGTTGGACGCAGGAGCTGTTCGTAGCATTATTAATATTGACAGTATGACACCTGCTGACGAGGCAGCCACACCAGAAATTAAGTTATTGTTTCGTCGACGACCTGAGGAAGCTAAAGCTCGATTTGTAGCTGCCGGTCATAGTGTTGAGTGGCAAAAACATGCAGCCGGACGTGCAGTGAAAATAGCTGCGCATAATCTAGCATATTGTAAGCCGTTTGATAATATGAACACTGCGTATCAAAGAATAACACAAGCTATAGAGTTACGTGACTCTCAACATATGAGTCAAATAAAATATTTTCTGGATAAAGCTCGCGAAACAAACGATGCCTCCTACTTACTCCGAGCGTACACAGCCGAAACTGATTTCTATCGTCGGCTTAATGTACGTAGTGCACAATTAAACGCTACAAGGGGACATCCGGATCCCAATTTATACTTAAAAGAATGGACTTTCGCATATAATGCTCAATTACTAAAGGACCCCACATTTCAGAAGTTTCATTGGACGGGAGAGACTTATCGTGGTATGGTAATAACTGCACAAGAATACAAACTTTACAATCGTGTCGGTTGTGGTGTGGTTAATCATGCATTTCTATCGACATCAAAGGTTAGAGACGTTGCCCTGGCCTTTATTTCTTCACCGTCTCCTGGTGAATTTTCCGTTATTTGCAAGTATATAATTAAGCAAGGCTGGAGTGCTCTCGATCTGGAGAAGATTTCTGAGTATCCGGGTGAACAAGAAGTTCTTATTATTCCAAATATGCATTTTCGCATTAAAAAAGTAACAGGAGAAAACCCTAGCGAAATTGAATTGGCACAAGAAGACATGCAAGAAGCTACAGACGAAATGGGATATTTGGGATTTACCGACGGGTTGAAGAAAGATTGTTGACCATGTCTTTTGCCACTCACTGCATATCACTCGAAACTTTGTTATTGTTATCAGATTAATTAGTTGTTTTTTTTCTTATTTACAATAAAATGTGTATTGCTTTCAGCACATAGTAGTACCGTAAGGGTGTGGGTGTGTGAGCATTTGATGTGGACGTATGAGTGTTGTTGTGTGCCCAACAGAATATTTCCACACACCCATATCCACACATACACCTACACCTACAACCACACCTCACATTCACCACCAGCCACCCACACCTCACATTCACCAC